TTCTGAAAGGTTGCTGACCCGTAAGGTAGATGAATGCGTTGACCATTCTTTATAAATTGCCTCTATCCATCACTAAATTCCATTTGCTTTTCCTGTTATGAATCTAGCTCTGCATTTCACCGTATAGAAAAGTCAAGGGATTATAGGTATCACAGGTAGAAACATCTATAGTTAAGCTTCCTTAACACGTCCCATTATAAAAGCCTGTTTTCAGTTGGGGGGGGGGGGGCATGTGGTCAGAAGCTGGGGGAAAGGGATAGGAATAGAAGGGAGGAGGGAAATGACAGGAATACAGGAGGGGGACAGGAGTCAGGGCAGAGGAGGAGGGGATAAGGACTGAAGGGTCTGTGGTCCCCTACAGAACCTGCATTTGAACCCAGGAGTCCTGAGACTCAACATTTCTTTGCTGTCTAGGAAATAGCAGTGAAACCTACTGGCAAAGTGTCTGTCTCCTCCCTCCCTTTCCCCTCTTCCTTCCCCCCGGCTGGATTACATATTTTTTGACAACCTGTTGTTCCTATCAGTTACTCCATTAGTTCAACTGGCGGAAGACTGTGCTGTGGATCTAAACATCCTAACCCTGCTGATGACCCAAGTTGGGGGTCATTGTAGTTCCAGATGATGAAATTTGTTTTTCTAGGTTGCTTTTTAAACCATTTAGGAAATTACATCCCCCCAAATGATAAAAGGTTGTAAAGTCAAGCCCTCAAAAGTTAGGAAATGCCAGAGTAAAGTTGCACATGTACCCTTAATTCAGCTCCCATATGATAGTCTTTAATTGCATGATTACATGGTTTCATTACTTGTATCAGTCTACAGTAATTCAGTATGGTTAGTCTGGTTTTCCGAGGTGACGAGATATCCAACAGGGTTAGTAGTTTGTAGCTGTAGTTCCCATTCACCCTCCCATTTTTTTTCTATTAGTGTGAATTATTTGCACTTTGGCAGTGTCAGGAATAGGCCGTTGCCAGAAGTTTGGGCAAAAGCTGGTAACACCATGCACACACAAAAGGAAAACATCACAGAACCCCAATCCTGCAATAAAGTTCTTGTAAGCAGACCCTGACACTTGCATGGAATTCCACTGAAGTTAACAGGGCTCAGTGCAGGTAACAGGTGTGTCTCTGTGCAGAGCCAATTGCAGGATTAGGGACTCAAAAATGGTAACTGCATCACAAGAGTCAGAGACCACTGACCATGAGTTGTTTGCCTTACAGATGGCCAGGACAGTCGGAGCAGAAATTACCAGACACTGTACAACTATTTTGGACTCAGTTTCCTAAACTGGAAGCTAAAATGAATAATACATTAGGAGAAATAGGAACTGCAATAGCAGTATTAAGGGTGCTGGCTCAGAGATGAAAACAGATCACTACCCTGGAAGATTGGTCAAAAGAGACAGATAATCAACAGAGTAAATAAAAATATTGCCTGGCAAACTGTGACACCGTGAAAACCATGACAGGAGGAAAAATCGAATAGAGATTGGACTTTGAGAAACAATGGAAGGAAAGCAATCTGTATCCTCCTCCAAACAATGAATTCCTGCTGAGCTTAAAATGGAAGTGAAAAATGGCCACACTAGAACGGAGTAGACACACAGAATTGGATCATTGCCTTCAGGGGAGATTGTGAAACTCAGCACAGCTATTAGTATTCCATAGTCAGGGAGACCACTAAGGAACCCGAAGCTGAAGAAATCTCAAGGTCCTACAGGAAGGAGATAATAAGCTATTCATATTTACAGATTTCTCCATTGCCACCCAGTGAAGGCCAGTGGAATTCACAGAGGTCAGGAGTATGCGTTACTCAAAAAAATATTAGATTCACTTTCCTATACCTGGCAACTCTAAAAATAATCAGCATTGGTTAGACATCCGCCTTCGAACGTCCAGCAGAAATTAAAGTTATTCTCAGCACTATTTCATATAGTTCATTGACGTGAACTATGCTGCTGTTATGTAAGAAGTAGATCTATATATTCCCTTTTTTATAGACTTTCTGTAAAATAACCTCCTGGCATATTGGATATTAACTTACAAAATAGATTAATTATCTGGCATTCATAGCCAATTTTTTAACCTCCTCCCCACTTGATTTGAAATTCTGATTTAACAGAAGCAGGAAGTTTACGGAACTTAAAAAGTAATGAGAACTCAAGCGCTTGTACTTGTTTTACTCTCTGCTGGAATGGAGATTTCCCAGACACGGTTTATCACATAATCTGTGTATTTACTTTTTGCCTTCCTGAATATATACCATTTAGGATTGCTTCCCCTCCCCGTATGACAAGCATGTTACAGATAGGGAGAGCCATAAAAAAAAGTCAAACAAAATGTTCTGTTTCAGGCTATCAACACTATTTAATAATTCGTTTCCCTGTAAAAAAATGTTTCATAAAAGAAATGGCAAAAACTCTGATTATACCAATAGTGCTAGGAAAAAAAGGAGAAAATATTTAAAGCAACATCTACTTTTATAATAAATGACAATATCTAGTAAATAGTTATGAACAGTCTAGAATGTGTACATAGAACCAGGACCAGCTCTAGGCACCAGCAAAGCAAGCACGTGCTTGGGGCGGCACATTTCTAGGGGTGGCATTCTGGTTGTCGGCCGGGCTGGGCTGCATGTTACGCAGCAGCAGGGTGGGCAGAGCCAGCAGGCTGGCCAGCAGCCAGAGTGCGGTCAGTAAGAGCAGCGCGGGGGCGCACGGGCTGGGAGCGCGGCAGCGAGCGCACAATGGCCAGGTGTGCACTGCGCACCCAGCCCACTCTCGTTCGCCTCCCCATAGTAATAGTAGGGCTTGTCGCCCAGCGGGTCCACAGCTGCATCCTCCATGGCCCCGCACTGTGCCCCACTGCCTATAAAGGGGGCTCCTGCCACTGCCCCCCGCCCCCCGCCCCCTGCGGTGCACCCGGAGACCCATCCCTGGCTGCTGCTCTGCCAGCCCAGCCCGCTGGGGGTCGGGCTGTCCCGGGCCAGGGTCCCACCCTCCACACCCCGGTCCAGAATCCCAGCCCCTGACCCAGGCACATCACTTCTCCCCCTCATCCAGAGTACCCCCATCCCCACCCCCTGCCTCCCAGCACAGAGCAAAGCTTGAAGAGAGACAGAAAGGGAACAAGGAGGGCTCCTGTTTGCTTGGGTTGGGGGGCAAGTGGAATTGCTCCAGACCCCACACCTGGGAGCCAAAACCGAAAACAAAACAAACAAAATTGCACAGTACAAACATGTGTAAAAGCCAAAAAAAGGGGGCGGGGTCGGCCAAAAATTTTTTTTGCTTGTGGTGGAAAAAAACCTAGAGCTGGCCCTGCATCGAACATAAATCTCTCCATCTCTTTAATACTTTTCACTTAGTTATATTCATCATATGCAAGAAACATAATGCAGAGATACCAAACTTGATGCACTCAATATGGCAGAGTTGCATGATCCATTTACACTAGACAAAAATATACACCATAATGGGGAGATTTTTTAGGTAGTCTTTCCTTGGGGTAAAGAAAAAGCTTGCATATTAGGAAAGAAAAAAAAGTTTGTGTATTAGTAAAGAAGGATTTAAAAAGGATATAACAACACTAACAATCATTCCTATTAGCTACTGCCAAAGATATATTGCAGAACTGAGTGACTGACTGATGCTCCTATACAGTATTTGGCTCTTTTTAAAAGCAATATTTACCTGTGGATAGCAGGGAGATGTACTACTGTAGCACTACTGGTGGCAGCAACAGTGGGAAGTCTAGAGGGCGGGAAAAGTAGTGTAGACAGTTCCATAGGAGGGTGAATGAAGAGGCGGGGGATGTGCTCTCTCCAGCCCAATGTTGTATCATGGATCAAGGGGGATGTGGTCTCTAGACCACATGTGAAGGGTGAAAACAAAGTGAGAGTGAGTGTGTGGTCTGTAGTGGGAACATAGACTGAAAGAAAATTAAGTCTCTGGCCTATATGCTGGTGGATGTTTCTCTTGCCAATGCGCAGAAAGTGGGTGTGGGATAGTGGTCGTCTCTGGCTATATTAAAAATGCAGATGAGGCGAAATGAGCAAGGTAAACCTGCTAGCCTGTAAATGGAGTCTGGGGCAGATTTAAGGTGGTGGTGGCGATGATTGGAAGCATAACTGTGAATTTCTGTTTTTTTCCAGCACATGGGTTATCTAAAAACTATAATTATTAATGCCTGTTAACGTATAATTGTTTTTAAGGTTTAGAATACACAGCACTTAACTCAGTCTAAAGAATGTTTATTGACTGGGGTTTTCCCTAACTTTCATTAAAATGGAAAAAAAATACTTTTTGGGGGGTAAAACGATGATTAGATCCCAGCTCAGATCTTCCCAAGCCCCCTCCGCTCCTTCCAGCCTAACCCCCACACAACACTTTTCAGACTCAGAATACTCGTCCCTGGGGGTCAGGGCCCTTTTCCCTCCTACCCTTTTCAAACAGTGACAAGAGAGCACTTTTTCAAAGTTTTATAACTTGGAACAAGCTTGTCTGATTAACCTTCAACTTTTTTTCAAAGAATTTTCCTTTGGGGAGGACCTACACATAAGAAACTGTGTTTGGAAAAAGCATTTTTCAGAAAGTTAGACGGGTGGGGCAAATTCACACTTATAATGGAAACTTTAAAACCCTTAGCTATGGAGTCACTATTGTAAATGCATACACATGTATGTATAGACATGGATATAGACACAGACTCTGAACTTACACTATAGGTGTAAACCTTTATAAACAGGAATATTATAAATACAGGACATGCCAGAGATAAGAATGTGATTAGAAATTTCCACTTATAGTCCTGTTAACTTGGACGTATATTGCAGTTGATTGGGGGTGGGGGGGGGCTTCCTGTTTTGTTCATTACTTTAAAACTTGCTTAAGTTATAGCTTGGCAAATCTGTCTGGTTGGAGAAATGTTGAATACCATACAGAGATGCCTAGTTTGGGCTATATTGGATGGAAGGATGTTGGAGGTAAGGGAGTGGAGGTGATGAGTGGTGGAAGGGAGAGGCTGTGGGGAAACTCTACCAAATGTGTTAGTGTACGTATGCTGTGTAGTTAGATGCAAGAGTGGATAATGATAGCAATGGAAGGAGGTGCAGCAAAAGTGGGTCTCCATTAATAAGGTAGGGAATAAGGTTAAGGAGTTTAAGGCAGTGGTCTGAAAGGAAAATCTAGAAGGAGTCAGATTTCAGTGTTGGAGCACTCATTGCAATGAGTCACTGAGAGAGCCTGAGAGCTGCCTTTGTTTCACTCGAACGCTGGAGGAGACAACAGACTCCAATTTTTATTAACTTTTTATTTTCAGAAGTAAAAATTCATGTTCACTGAATATTTTTCCCACTTAAGGTCTTTCAACAAACTTTAAAAAAAATGCTCTCAAGGTAAGAATGCTAACTTTTTACTTTTTTCTAGAATTTCTGCCTTTAACTTTTAGTCTTATCTTTTTTTTCCTTTTTTTCTCCCTCTTCTTGGCAAATTTGCTCCAGGCATTGCTGGCGGCCCTGGAATTTGCTATTGCTGCACTGGGGTTCATTTCTCCCTGTTGTTTTAGCGGCTCAGGTCATAGAAGGTAAGAAACTCCCCAGATCACTATTTAAATTGAGGCTAAGGGTTTCTTTTGAAATCCACATTCCTAATATGGAAAGTAGTTGTGCATTTCAAATTTCTAATATATTTGCTGACTGCTGTTTTCAGCTTCACTTGGACAGGTTGCTGCTAGTTAAGAGCTATAATTGCCATTTATTCTGGAAGGCTGGGGGGCTAAAATAAATAAATTGGTCCCCAAAAGTAAGAGAGCATATGATGTGCTCTCTCAACGTTATTTGAGAGTGCAGTAAGAGAAAAAATTACTTCATGTGTTATATGGTGTATGTAAATTACACTTGGATTTACAGAGATGCAGAAGGGTAGTAAGAAGCAGGTAGATGGGTATAGATCTGTCATTCTGGTGTTAACAGGAGCAAGTGCTAAGTGTGGTGTGATCTCTAAGGCATTATGTGATGCTGCTTCTGAGTGTTACGAATTTGTGCTCCAGAATGCCTGAGCACATTGTGCCTTTCAGATCTCTTCAGTTATTTTTTTGACTAGCATGCTGAAATGAAAATCCCTGTGAATGAAAATCCCTTTTTCTCTTTCTCTATATAATGCATGCCTTGTAACATGGTCAATACCAGTCAATACCTTGCAGTTTGTACAGATGATATAACTTTTCAGCATATTTTAAAAGATACTGTATTGATTTAGAAGTTTACATACTATTGAAGAAAAAGCAAATAGAGATTGAAATGTTAGGTTTGCAGCACGGACGATAATATACCTTAAAAAGAGTTGAGCTCCTTCTTCAACCAGAATTAATTGTGGATCTTAATTATGTAGGCAACACCTAGATTCTATAGTTATGAGAGCATTAAAAAGGTACTGCATAGAAAAATACAGATTGGAGATAGGTTTTGGGGAATATTCAAATCTCTTTCTTTCTTTTTCTTTTTCTTTTTTTTTTTCCAACTGAGGCATGCCGCCCAATGTGTGGCAATGTCACAGCCAAATCTCCAGCTAGTCATTCCTTTCACTTCGCTGGGAGGTATGCCACATGTCAGCAAATGCTAACGGCAAGATTTTTACATATTGACCAAGTATGTTACGTTGCTGGACTACATGTAATTTATGAATGCTACCGTTAGGAACAAGCTATGAGAAAGACGGGCAAACATTACATGTATTTCATTTTCTGTTCATACAGAGTATGATGCATATACTATTTGGATCAAACTTTCAGCATCGTATGAAGATTTAGTTCTCATGTAAAGCTAAATACAGCAATACACTGACTAAAATGTTTATCTTGCATTGGACAGTCAGATGAAGACCTATAGTACAGAAAAACACAAGTAGAAACCCACATGTGGTCATAACTGTATGGGTCATACATTGATAATACTTAGAATAAGCATGAAGCTCTTGCAAGAGATAGATCTAGCACAACAGACCTGCTACCAGAGACAGAGCAGTCAATGATATCAATTACATTCAGTCTGGTAAGATGCTGATTGTCTTCACCTACAACTGACTTGAATGTGAGTTCGGAGTGCTCAGCACCTTGGAGGATTGAGCCCATAGATCTTTGACTGGTTATCTCACTTTTTGCATAGATATTTTTGTACAAAACGGTAGGCTGACATATGACAGTAGTTCAGCAAAGTGGAAACTGCTCTCCCATTAATGTGTAGAGGATTTTTGCAGGTAATTCAGTAATTATCCAGATAAATGCACATCTTCCCATGTGTGATTTTACCACTTGTTTCTAAAAGGAGATGATAGTTCTGTCAATTTTTAAGCTTTCTTACTAGCTGCTACTGCTGATGTCATACCCGTGGTCAGTCAACCCAAAAAATATATTGGCCTGACTTTTGTTCTCTTTAATGTTTCCATTTCCTAAACACTAATAAACTCTAAGCAGGCTATGTCTACAAGTCTCTTTCAGCATTATTGATTTCCAGGTTTCTCCTAGCCTTTGATTATCTGGGTATTGCCTCCTCCTGCTACTTGGCTTCTCCTCTCTCTCTCCCCGGCACCAGGCAGCCGTGGCTTACAGCCACAATTTGGCCCTGTCTCAAGTACTTTATTTTACAAGCTGCTGTGTTATATCTTATTTCTTAGTGGTGCTTTGTCACATTGTAGCTGTAAATGTGTATCTTTTCTTTGCTAGAAATTACTTTGTATAAAGTGATTCTTCCCAAGGAGACAAAGAAAGGTAAAGCTTGGAAATATTGGCATTGCCTGCCTATCTATTGGAGGACACTAAACTTTGGAATCAGTAATGTAGAACCCAGTGCAATGGGGCTACCTGTGGTGGTGGGGGGGAGGGGGCAGATGCTACTCCGGCTGAGTAAGGGTGACAGAATAAGCCCCATACAACTATTCTTGTTAATCAGGGAAGACTTAGTAGGGTGTGAAAGTCTCCACATATTGTAAGCAAGATATGAAGCATCGTTTGGTGGCATCAGGAGGATAAATATGACATCCTTCCATGATACTAGTAATTGATCAGTCCTGGTACTTGTCCAGCCAGATTGTGCCTGGACCTCATGCAGATACACAGGGGAAATTGGGGAAAGTGTAAGTTGCCTTCCTCATTTGCATGATCCATGGAAGGGCCAAGTAAAGTTGCAGCCTCTGGCCCAGATCCACAAAAAGACTTAAGATCCCAACCTCCCACATTAGGTGCCTAAGTTAAAAATGTAGGTGTCACTGAGCCTCAAAACCCTCATTTGGCTGCCTTCTAACCCTACGTGCCTAGAATCACTCAGTGCCAATATTTTTTGCTGTACAAGTCCCCTAGATGCTTGTTTCTGCCTCCAGGCATGCACAGTGCTGCCTTAGACAGGAGTCCTGCTGCCTAACTCACACCGAAGCCCCAGTGTGGCCTTCAAACCAGGTACAGATTGGCATTCTCCCAGCTATCTCCCCAGGAGGGCCCAATCCAGTAGGCATGCTTTGAGCATGCCTAACTCCACACAAAATCACTGGAGGACAGCAGCAACCTCCCATATAGCCTTTATCCCTGTGTACTCATCCCCCATATGAGACCCCCAGTTTATACCCCACCCCCCAATAAGGAGAAGGGATTTGAACAGGGGTCTCTCACCTCTCAGGTGAGTGGCCTAACCACTGAGCTATGGATAGTCTGATATGGGTGCTCTGTCTCTGCAGCTGAAGTTGTTCCACTGTGTATAGATAATTAAATATGCATTGGGCCAAAGAGACAGAGTGAGAATGACACTATAGTCCAGTTGTCTTAGGGCACCTGTCAGGTGACCAGGACAGGGGCAGTCTAGCCTGGTGGTCAGAGCAGTCGTCGGGCACTAAGGACTAGGGTCAGAGCTGGACTCAGTAGTCAAAAGCTGGAGCCAAAGGTTAGACCGGAGGGCAGGAACTGGATACCAGAGTCAAGAGCCAGACTAGAGTCTGCAGTCAGAAGAAGCCAGAGCCAAAGTTCGAGCTGGAGGTCAGGAACTGGGTCGAGCAGTGTATCAGGCAAGGCGGAGTTCAAGGCAGGTGCAAGGTAGAGTCAAGGCTGGGGGCAAAGCAGGAGCAGCAGGACCAAGGTAACAGAGGAGCAGTCACAGTGGTGAGTGTGAGCACTGAGGGCCGGCGGAACTGCTGCTGCTGGCCTCTGAAGCCACTCAGGTGGTGTGGCTCATCAGGCAGCCTGCTTGCAGGCCAGCTGTACTGATGAGGTTGCCTGGAGACTAGCTGTGCTCCAGAACCTGGTTCCTAGTAGCACCTCACCTGAGAGGTGGGAAACTCAAGTTCAAATCCCTGCTCATCAGATAGAGGGTGGAACTGAACCAGGATCTCTGAATGCGCAGGTGAGTTCCCCTACCACTGGGTGAAAGATAAAAAGGGAAGTGGCCACCCCCTGACCATTTTGTGTGGAGTTAGGTGTTCACTGGCACTGTTCTTGCAAGAAACAGCACAGGTACCTGGCTCCAGGAATGGGGTTCCCAGCTGTGGATTCCAGGCTCTGGGTTCCAAGCAGAGTTAGGCTCTTCTCTCCAGCCTGGACCTAGGTGCCTAAATTGTAGTGAGGGATGGGGCTTAAGACACTCCCCTCTATTTGGCACCTGCTATTGGCTAGCTTAGGTGGCTCCTTGCCTAGCATCCTGGCTTTTTTTAGCTCCATTCTCAGGCACCTATCTCTCTCCATTAATTATACAGAGCGCCTAGGCATCTAACCCAGGCTTCATAGATTCCACGGGGTGGCTAGGCGCCTAAAATTTAGGCACTGCAATGCCATTGTGGATTTGTGTCTCTGTACTTTGGGGACTGCAGGAATGATTCCCCACCATGCTCTGTCCATATGCCCCTGGAGGCTTATGTCACCTCAAAGGGGGTGGAGAGAAGGTGGGGCCATGCCAGAGAGGGGGTGTATGCTATACCCCATAAAAGGGTATAGCAGTGAGTATGCAGCCTGTGTATGCCCAGGAATTCCAGGAAGTATTCTGCCCTGCTAAGCCAGAAAGCCTGCAGTGTTTTTCCTGACATGGTGGCCTGTATCCCCTCATTGTGGACTCTGCTTAAATGGCATAATCAAGTCCCTAATGATAAAGTGACTGGTTTTTAACACAACAGCAAATCCAACTGCTCTGTTTTGTTGTCCAGCCAAAATACAGAATTAGTCACAGTTATATACATTGCATTTCACAATTGCACATTTTTCCATGTGACACATTGCCTTATTTTAAGTTAGCTACTAGAGCATGTGGTTATAATACCTCCAGAGCCGTTTTCATTGTTCCAGGAGCTAAGGGTCAGTCAAAAGTGTTTTTTGAGGGGTAGTGTAGATCGTTTCCACTGGATCATAACACAGAGTGCATGCAAGGCAGCTAAGTGTCTGATTAAACTTGGGATATTTGGCAGCTAGTTAAATAGATTAAATTGTTCACAAATTCATGGGAGAAAACCTCACCTCCAGTGAATGATTTATCTGGGGCTAGATTGTGCCACACAGACAAAGCCCTGATGCTCGGTGGCACGCTGAAACTTCCTTTCACCCCCTTCTGCATCACT